TGTTTGTGTATTTATTGATTTATTTTAAGTGATTGTGTTTTATGTATATTATGGTTTTATATTTTTACAAATGCTTTATATACTTATATATATTTAATGGTCTATACCTTGTGTTGGGGGGGGGTTGTGTTTCTGTCTTGTTTTTATGGACATGAAGTCTGCCAATAAAGATTGAATTGAATTATTAGATCCTAATAAGTACAGTTACGCTTATCTGTGCTGAGTATTCGCACATTGTGCTCTCTTATAGTCTTAAGCTGCCCGGAGCCCTCACACAAATGCCCAGAGAAAACTCACTCCTCATCTGGACTGGGAATTGCAAACATCCATCACAGATGACTCTTTTAAACTTATTACAAATGAGAAATGTGGTCTTAGTTTCTTCATTACTCAGAGCAGAACCAGTGAAAGCTATTTCAATTCTGAAATTCAGTACTAATTCCGTTAATATATTGCACACTCTGTATCTACCCCTTGTCAATGCTGGGCAGCATAATATCAGTTGAGAACGGTTGCAGCTTGAAAATCCAACATAGATTTCCATTTTTTTTATTCATTGTTGTTTTTTATGATATTTTCAGGAGTACTAGATTCAGCAAACCATAAAAGGTTTAATTAGGTCCCCTTAACTTAAATACACAAAATAAATCAATATAATCCTAAAAAAAATTTAAATAATAATTTGCTCTCTGGTGGCCACTTAGGTACAGTGAATGCAACAAAGAACCAGTTTGAAATGATGTGAGCCTTGTAACAGAGCATGTTATACTGCTGGAGGCGGCTGTCAGCGTGTACATTTGGGCCATAAAGAGATGGACAGGACCAGCAACAGTACTCAGGAAGCCTGTGGCATTTAAACAGTGTTCAGCTGGTACTACGGGGCACAAAGTGTGCCAGCAAAAAAATATTCCCCCACACCATTACACTAGCATCGCATGTGTTATGCGTTCAGACATGCTCTTCTCCATACATTGGTTGTGCTGAGTGGTTACTGTTTACCCCTGTTGGCTCAAAGCAATCTGCCCATTTTCCTCTGAATTTTATCAGGTTGTCTTGACCATGCCTACATGCCTAAATGCTCTGTGCTATCATGTGACTGGCTGACTAGATGTTATCGTTAACAAGCTGGTGAACAGGTGTACCGATTAAATTAGCAAGCGAGTGTGAAAAGTTAAATATGTGGCGAGACATCCCTTTTCAGCCCCTTTTCCTTGTCTGCATCTTAATTTCCAGCAAGCATTCAACTATCCAGAGGACCAGGCTAGAAGCAGCCTACAAAGCCTTGGCTACAGGATTAAATGAGAGAATGTTTTCTCAGCTGGAAGAAGAAGTGGAGACAGAGGACCAGGAAAGCGAGCATATGTGTCCGCAACTCTCACCTGATCCCAAAATGGACACCAGTTTGGACTTGGAGCAGGAAGTGTTATTTCAGAGAGACTCAGGCAGCCCCATGGAAGCTTCACCGGCAGAAAAACCACCACAAGCAGATGCTGTTCCACAAACTCAGGAAAGTTCGCTCTCAAAGACAACTTCTGTGCCATGGAACAGACAGCTTCACACTCTGTCTCGGCTGGTGATGGAACCAGATAGTCAGGCAAGTTCACAGTGCTCAAAGGTTTCAGAGGAACTAGAGACCGAGGCCAGAGTAGAAGAGGCACCACAGACACTGGCTCTGTCAAATAAAACAGACTCACAGTGTCCAGTTACTGACCAAGAAGTTTCCATACCAGCACCAAAACGCCACAGAAGGACCAACAGAATTAACAGGAGGTACTTATATTTGTTTTTTTCTTTTCCAGGAAAATGATTAGTAGGCACTATTTTCTTACAAGGTTGTAAGGTTTTGCATTTCAGTTTAAGCAGGTTACTTTTAGTATTGTTTAATCAGTGTATGGCATTAAACCTTTTTTTTTTGTTTTTGTTTACAGAGTTTCAACTAGTTTTGCTGAGTTGTCAGCAGAGAGTGAGGAGGACTCTCCTCATTCTGCGGCCAGCACGGCAGTTAGTGTGAAACGTCATAACCAGTCCAGTAGTTCACCCACCAGGTAAAATATTAGAACTCTTAACAATAACCAGAAAGCCTTCACCATCGTTAGAGCAAAGGATGCATTCATGTATTGTCAGTTTGTTTGTAATTATTGACTCTGTCTCCTTGTTTTAAGCTCGCTCAATATTAATGCTAATAAAACTTACTCAGGTCAACTTACACTTAACAATAAACTAGTTAAAGCAGCTATTATACTCGGTTGCCCACGGTGACTCAGACAACTGTCAACACAATGAATGAATATTCCTGTTTTAGTTCTTTGAAGTCTGACTGAAGGGTGTGTGCGTAGTTGATGTTCTGTAATGTATTGTTTTCACAGACATGTCCAGACAGTCACAAATCATTGGCAGGCATATGGATGTCAGCACAGAGCCTCATGAAATTTATGTAACTCAGAACCGACAGCGTGTAGTAAAACACATGAGACATGAAGCTCAGAACTCTAAACTATCCTCACTCTCTTATGTTTCCCCCTCCTCTCTAATGTGAGGGTTCAGTGCAAGTGAACAGGACTCACTTTCAAAGAGAATTCAAATTACGCTTTTGTGTATTTGATGATGTCATTTAGTTAATAGTAATTGTTTTTTTTAATTAAAATTACTCTTTGTTTTATTACTTTGGTGCTTAAAAACACAGATATTAAACACTACAGATAAACAGTATAGTATGTTTCAGATCTCCAGTCAAAGCAAATGTTACATTTTGAAGATAACAGTCTAACTCTTGTCTAACAGAAACATCAACAAGTCAAAACAGTCGTCATCAGACAGTGAAGGAGAACCACAGAAGCTCTCAGAGCCTTCAGTGAAGGTCTCTCCCAGTCTGCTCCCTCTGCACCCTGTTCCTCAGACAAGCTCCACTCCTCACAAGGATTCTGCTCTACTCAGCAACAACTCCTATTCAAAGAAGTGAGTAGAGATAACACCAGTAGTTTTGGCTATGAATAGATAGACGTCACATGCTCAAGTGTTCATCTTGAGTGTAAGATAAGTGATTTACTTTGATGTTTTTTTTATTGGCCACAAAGATAACAGCAGTGAAATTACAGATGGGGAACACTGTAACTTGTTAAATACTTTATCAAGCATGGCAAGTCCATATGTACAGCTTCACTTTATACTGGCTTGACATGTCTTATAGCTAAAGATCTACTTTGGAGAACATTAACAATAACTTATTTTTCTGATGTTTGCTGTGGGCTGTGCTGCACATTAACTGAAAACATTGAAAAACGGTTATAGATTTTTAGATTTCAAAATGAATTACTCTTACCTACGATGTATATGACACCAAAGCAATCGTCTTAATATACATTGTAGCTTAAGAGGCTGGATGGAATCATTTCAAACTATGGAGCAGAAAAGTGTGAAGTAATGGAGAGAAAGAAAAAAACTTCCAACAGAAGAGACGTGCAAAAGACTAAGATTAGCTCAGAAAAAGAAAAACAAATGGAAGAACTAGCTTCATCAAATCCCTGGAAGAACACCTTGGAAAATGCACTCTGACCCTGCAAAGTCAAGGGTCAGAGTCCATCATCAAAGGAAAGCTCTCCAACCAAAGGTTCTCAATTGACAACAAACAAAAAGCAATGATATCTGAGAAATCCATCAGAAGATGCTATGATGCAAATCTCAGACCGTGAACAGATCGAGCAACTCAAGCAGGATGCTTGTAGGGACCTTGAGAAATTTGATCACTCTATGCTCAAAGCTTTGGACCTTCCAGTTTGGCTTGCTGCCTCATGTACTCACACATTTCTCAAAAGTGACTTATAAATTTATTTATAAACTTAAAGTTGGTTAACAGCTTTGTGGCATCATTGACTCTCATTTGTACTCTTCCCAGATCTAATCATACTCGTTGAAAGTCTAGCCAGCCTCTACAAAAAACTATTGCATCAAAAATAAGTTTGTCTTTGTTTCCTCATCTTTCTTCTATTGTATTGCTTCATATTCTTAAATCGCTGTATCTACATCATGGTTTAAGACCTGATTCTTTTTGCAGTGATAGTGTATCCCCCACATATTTAGTTTTTTTATGAAGAAGTTATTTATTGAAACATTTATATACAGTGCTTTTAAGCTCATGACATTATTGGTAGCCAATGAAGAAACACAGACACTGCTCACTTAAAACCACAGTGTACAAGTTAAAACCAGATAACAGCTTATGGTATTAGTATTGATTTAGCATTTTGCAGTTAAAAGTTTCTCTCTGCTTGCACACATTGTGCTGTTCCTTTTTATAAAACCTGGCTGTTTAACTTCAGAAATAAAGAGTAAAACATAATTTTAATCACCAATCACTCAAAACAGGTCGTTCCTTTTACAGAATATCATTGACTTTTTTTCTCATCTTGCAGAAAGTCTAAAAAGTCAATACGGTTATCGTCAGACAGCGAGGAAGACCCGAAGGAGCCTGTGACCTGCAAGAAAACTCCAGTACAAAAGCCTCATAAGCAGCTGTCCAGTGATCCTGTGGACAATCAAGTGTAACTACAGAATCTTGTATTTTATACCGGTGCTCTAGACGACTAATTAATCATTTCATATTTGACCAGTTTTATTTACTTTACAGGAATCGAGATGATACGGATGACATCCATATTACAGACTCTTCAGTGGAGAGCTCGCCAAGTCAGTCCCCTTCTCACCCAATCCCACAAACGAGCTCTACTCCTCACAAGGACTCTGCTCAAAAGAACGTCCATTCCCCTTCAGAATGGTTAGTAAACACCAATAAGTCTGAGAAAGTAACAAGAGGACTGTAATATGTTAAAATGTAACATTTTGAATGCTTTATCCTTTTGATTGGTGCACATTTTGATTTGGTTTGAAGGTGTGAAGTTCCAGTCTATGATTTAGGGTGCAATGTCATCTGCGAGTGCAGGTGGCAATTGGTCTGCTGTGTTCTATTAAGCACAAAGTACACAAAGCAGGCTCTTACCAGGACATTTTAGACCAGTCTGTGCTTTAATCTGGAGATGCTGGTTTCCTTTTCCAGCAAGACTTAGCACCTGTCTACCCACAAGCTAAAAACTGTTGTCAAAGCAACCTGAGCTTTGATAACATTTCAGCAGTTACTCGAGCTAATTGCCTCCATGCCACACCACACTGATGCAGCAACTCATAGCAAAGGAGTCCTAACCAAGTGTTTGATTTCTAAATAAAAACCCAGTATGAAATTAGTATACTGGATATGTCTGTTTTTAACAATCTGAAATCATGGATTTGTGATTTTTATGAGCTACGGGTCATAGTCACTTTTTTTTATGGTTAGAAATATTACTCTATAAATATAGAATAAAGTTGACTGTTTTTGAATTGTAAATGTCTCATATTATTTTTTATATGCACTAGTCATTAACTGAAGATATTTAAATATGTGATTACGTGCAAACACACACGAGTATTCCTCCCAGCATATCTGATTAATAGCCCTAATTATTTTTAATTTTTATCTTTTGTTGTTGTGCTTAATCGTTTTGCCGAACAAAAACACACTCTGGCTCTTATTCACAGGAAGCAACGGTACCATAATGCAAAGGAGACCAAGGAGGTATGGAGCGACGAAGAATTGTATTTTACCTCCAAAAAGAGAAGTAAGTAATAGTTCATTGAATATTCAACTTGAATTCATGGAGTTTAGATGATGGGGTTCAAATAATTTTGTGTATTTTTTTTTTTTTCTTCCCACAAAGGCTTAGACATGAGCACCATTTCAAATTCAGGCCAAAGGAAACGAGTAAGTATAGCAAAACATGCTGCAAAGTTAACTGGTCACTTTACTTTACTGTTGATATTTGTACTTAAATCCCTTTGTCACATAAATGTGTGAAATAGTCCATAGGGAGGACTTCTTGTTCCATATCACACAGTAATTTGCTGCTTTGCCTTTTGTTGCTATCATACAAATTTAAGTTCCTGTATCAAAACCATTGCATGTTCAGTCACTTGCACTGGTATTACAACTTGATCTAAAATGCTGTCATTTGTAGACTTCCCACAGTGGCAAATGGCTAACCGACATGTTTTTACTGTGTTGCAGAAATGGACAGAGAGTGAGACACAGCAGTTAAAAGACGGGGTCAAAAAATTTGGAGAGGGCAACTGGAGCAAGATAAAGGCATATTACAAATTCAAAGATCGAACAAATGTCAACCTGAAGGACAGGTGGAGAACAATGAAAAAATCAAATGTCGTCTGACTCACCAAAGCCTTTTTCATTTTATCCCATCTCCATTTATTTGTTTTGGTTTCCTTAACAAGTTACTGAACATTATAAAAGCCACTTTAAAATTTTGTAAATGTTGAATGTTTGTGGGTCAAAGATTGTTTTGTTTTTTAGGAAGGGATAACAGAAATTGCAGTAATAGTGACTATTGTAGCATCTCTGCAGCCCTAAGTAACAAACCCACTCGTTGAATTGATACAGAGATGGGAATAGCTTTAAAAGTCAGTATGTTCTCTCAGTCTTATGATCTCGGAAAAGCAGAACAGACCTTTAATTAAAGATATGAAAGCTGCAAAATATCCATATAGCTAAGATCTACAAGTAACTTTTTCCTCCCACACAAACTATTTGTAAAAAAAAAAAAGAAGAAGATTTAAATTTAAATAATACAGAGATGTGGATTTATTTCAAGATTCAAGTTACAAAAAACATACACACAAAAACAACCCTTCTCATTTAATACAACAGGGAGGGGACAAACCAGGAAATTCTGCAAATGGCAGAAGTGAGTCAATAGACAGATTGTTTGTTTTAGCCTCTGGACTGTAGGGAAGTGTTCCAGGTATAACAGCTGCTCGTGAAGTAGGAACTTTGATCAGATCATGTTCACTATAAAATGTTGAGCAGCTAAAAGCTGAACCTTTGACTTTGAGTGAGTGTTACTGTTAAAAATAAACAGTTTGACAGTCCACTTGTTTCTGCATCTTTATGTTAATGTTTCCTCATTTCTTATGAACTCGCCGACATCAGCCTGGTGGAACACAACGATAGACATGGGGTCCACTCGCCGACACTCCTGCGTAGACTTGGCCGCCACACCAAAACCCTGAAGATTAAGACAAACAGCCAGCCTATAAGTGCCTTTTGTCATATAACCTTGAGTTAATCAGGTATTAACCTCTTTTTAGTACATGAGTGGATATATCCAATACCCTATTGTGAATACACGGCACTGAGGAAAACAAAACATCTGCATAATATGTGCTTTGTTTCCCAGCATGAGTGTTACCAGCAGGAATATGTATCTTTGTTATACTGTGAATACTGCCCATAACAGTGTGACAAGAACAGTAACCTTTAAAGGACTTACCAAAGGCACATCTGCCATGGAGTAAACCACAACTCCCTGATACTGCATCGTGTTCTCAGTAATTCTGCCAAGACCAGATTTTAGCACGTGGTTCCCATACAGGAAAGATTGCTCTGTTCCAGGTTTCACCCACACCTTAAACTGAATACATGATAGTTTCAAGTTATTCATACATGAATGAATGAGTCCAATATGACAGCACAGATGAAAAGCTTGAACAATTAAGAGAAAGTCTAGAATTTCTAAGCACACATAGAGCTACTGCTCCCTTGTTCTCATAATATTTATAAACGACTTAATACAGGTTCTCGCAATTTAGGGTCTTCAAAAAGCAAAAAAATACATTCAGTTAAAGTATCCATGTAGCTGAGATGTGAAACGGGCAGATGTATCCACATACGAATCTTCTCACATATGAACTTCAATTTGTTGAAAAAATATCTATTTTTATAGTGCATGTTAAGCCTAATGCAATGAGATGGAAAAAAATAACAGCCTGTTTATAAGTATAAACAAACTTTTGTACAGCACAATTTTTCATGCAATAAATCTGTAATAGCACACAGAATTGCTTCAAACAGAATTTTGATTCTCCATCTGTATAGTAAACAGCTGTTTATGCACGTGAAAAACAATTTCTACCCGTCATGTGTTACTGATCCTAAAAACTGGTTATACTCACTCCACTACTTTACATTTTTGCTGTAACTTTCAAAAAACCCTTCTGGAAGATGATCTAGTGGCATAATTCAGAATGAGCCTCTACTACAGAGGACTTTAGTAATATCCGTATTGTTTCGTTTCCTACATCTTATTTAAGCTCCGCTTGGTATATTCGTAGGAGGGAATGACTTGGCTGTGTGTTGTTTATAGTCACCTTTGCATATGGAGCAAGGAAATCCAGGGCTGTGATGTGCAGGCGGAACTTCTTGGTCTTTGTAAACTTCCCAAAACACGTACCCACTGACATGAGTTTGTCCCGGGAAAAATTGGTGGCCAGCTTTAGAATTTTCTCACTGTGGACAGAAAACCAAACGCCTTAATCCTTTCATGTACGGACAGGTACCCAACATGCGTGTTAATTAACCAAAATTACCTCATGTAGTAGACTCTGTCATGGTGCAGCCTGAAACAGTAAACGCCGTCTGGTCGGTCCACTAGAAGTTTTATGTTTTCACCAATGCTGTTACAAGAGAAAACACATGGATCACACACACGTTCACAGCGTGAGCTACCGGGCTTGCTGAACGTGTTGGTATAATTTGAACCTTTACAGGCTAACACGGCGCAGAAACCGTTCACTCACTATTTCGATAACTTCTCGAACATCGTTTTGGTCTCTTCTTCTGTTAGCGGCCTCATATTTACTACTATAAATCCTTAACGTTAGCAACGGATAAACGTGTCTCCTTTGAGAAAAAAACGTGGGCTTACGCGGAAGCAGTAATGCTTTAAAACGGAAGTTGTGTGACGTAACAGTGATCACAGTTCCTGGTTTTTTGCCTCCTTTAGCGATCAGTTGGACGGACGTGTTTTTTTCTCCGGTAAACCGGTCGCCATCTGGTAAGTTTTCTCATACTAAATAATTACAATTCACAAAGAAATCTTGAAAGAGTAGTTGGTTCTAATTGCGAAAACCAGCAATTGTTTCAGCTTTTGTTTTAATTTAACAACTGAAGTCACAGCTTCCGAAAATGGGCTGAGTTAGCTCCGACAGCTAGCTGTCAGTGGAAAAAAACACAGACGCGCGGCTATCATCGAGCCCGTGAACGTTAGCTGGAGAGCTAGCTGTATTAGCATGTGGTAGAGCTAAAACTCCGATTTACTAAAGCAGTTCAGTTCTAATCAACGCCGACGCCCCAGCACAGCAGCAGTACATGTGTTGAACTGCACCCAGCTGCGAGCTGTGTTCAGACTGGTCATGTAAAGCGTCTTTGACGCAGCGGGGCGAAGTTACATAACGCTCATTTGTTTGTAAATACCGATTAAGTTCCAGTAATCCAAGATCATCGGCAGAGTTGGTAATCCTTAAAGGATGTCAGATGTGGTTAAAATCATCATTAAACACGTCTGCGCTCATTTTACGACTCTTGATAATATGATTCAGCTGCACTGAGTGTCAGCGGTGCATAGCGTCAGCTGCAGAGTCAGTGTTACAGACTGGGAAATACACTCCGTCAGCGAGCACTTCGCTTTTGGCAGATCATTTGATCCTCCTGTCACCTCTTGTTTGACAGCCAGAAGGCTTTCTACTGTGTCTTTCTGAGGCATCGACCAAAAAAAACGATTGACATTTCGAAATATGTGGTAACACTGTTTGATTATATCACCCTGTTTTGTTTTTTGGGTTTTTTTTTTTTTATCGTTTTGTTCGACTTGTTTACTCGTTTTATTGTTTATGTTTTTATGTTTGGTATTAATTATTTTGAGTATTAGTTTAGTCTTTTGTGGCTGATATTTGGAGAGGAGTTTCAATACAAACACAACACTCTGTAAAGGGAGTTGGCTCACATTGAGAGAGTCATCCAAAACACAAAGCCTCCCCACCCTAGTTGTGTTGACACACTTGACTAAATTTGACAAAGACTGATGATGATGATTTTAAGATTATTTTATGTAATTTAAACTTAAATATACACCCAATTTTAATTAACTATAATAACTTTGTGGATCATATGTTTAACTGCATTTTCTTTGATCCTTGTAAACAAATTAGTAAATTAGTGATAGTTCTTTTACAGCATTTATCCCTTTTAACTACCTTTTTTCCTAAGATATTTGTCAGTATAGCAACATTCACCAACATTCTTTGCTTCATTATACAATTAAGTATATTTTGAACAAGTACAGTACAGTGAAGGCAGTTGTATTTTTATTTTTAATTTATTTTCCCAAATGGTGCTCCACATTTTCTGTGCTGCTGCCCTATTAGTGAAATAAGCCTCTAGACGATTTCAAGTCCACAGAGATGTTAATTAAAATGGAAAGCTTATCAAGGCGTCGGAGCTAATAACAGCCTTCTGAAAACTGAAACACCGGCTGTTCGTTTAACCTCACAGCCCAAGGTTGGATTCAGGTAGTAAGTTATTTACCACCGGAGATTAACCACAAAAGGGAAAGTGACAGTGATCCCCTGGACAGCTTGTTGAAATGGAGGCCACACTCTGGCCCCATTTCTTTTTCTTAAGACTTGTTACAAGAGAAGTTAAATTTGAATATGGTGAACTTTCTGTTTTTAACCTTCTGACGTAAATGTTTCACCATGCCTTATATGTAGTAGGTGTGTCTGACAGTAGTTCAAACGTATGATTAAAAATAACCGTAGATTACCTCATCAGACGCGAGATGGTATCATACAAAAAGTGGCAAGCTTCCAAGAAAGGAATTTTTAAATATTGTTTTTAATCAAAAGTTGCTTCCTGTAAAAGTAAGTCCAGGGAACTATTAGCTATGGGGAACATGAGCAGCCGAAAGCTGCTGATACACATCAAAATATATCAGCAATTGATTGAAATGTGTTTTTTATTGTCCTTTGTTAACGTGTCAGCAGGTGTGTGCTGCTCTGAAGTGGGACAAGACTTTTCGTGCCAACGGTTTACCCCCAAGAAGCCACTGGCCTGTGTCTGTCATCAGTTTCCGGCGTGTGTTTGTGGTTCTGGTAACACGGAACAGGAAGACGGGCGTAGAGACGTCTGAGCAGAGAGAGGAAACTGCTGCGGCTTCTTCGTTGGCCTCAGAATGACTGAGTTCTGGGTTTGTTTCAGTTGCTGCATTGCAGAGCAGCCACAGCCTGTGAGTATGAAATTTGCAAGAAGAACTGATTTATTTAATTTAAGCTGTCTTGTTTTTAAAAGTTTTTAATTTGAATATAGATTAACAAAGTAGCATTCATCCAGTTAAACACATCCTGGCAAAAAACTTTCAATATATTTGCTAAAGGTTATCTGTTGGCAGACAGACAGTCTGACAGTCTGGTTATAATAGGGAACTGTTTGATGTCACAATAATAACCCCTGTCCTGCCGCAGCAAGACTAAGTTGTTGAGTCCTTTGGAATGATCGTGAGTAATGTATCGATTACTCATCATATGTGGTTTACTGCTCAACTAATTCACAGTTAATGACAAAAACATGCAGACCTTTGTACATTTCCTGTTTGTATTAAACTCCCCAAGTAATTGTTCTCATGGAAGGCTTTAAAATTTAAATTAACTTCTGAGTTTAGAAAACAAAAACTTCAATCAGAAGTTTCTTGTAGCTGCTGATAAGACGGGCACAGTGATTGGGAGGGAATTTGGATCATTCCTCACTGTAAAACTATTTGTTATTATATCTGCTACATCTGGGATATCTTGACTTAACATTGAAGCTATCTAGGTCATGCCACAGTATCTAAATTGGTTTTAGACCCAGACTACAAAACCTAGTTTTCTTCATTTAAAAAAGCAAACCAAGAAAAACCCTTCGTTTATTTACTTGTTTGCTGTCACATGATCTGCCATGACTTTTTGGTCAAGGACTGCTGCCCAGATATCGTTCTGTAACGTTTTGTAATGCGGTTATGAATTTATTGCTGCCTTTGTGAATGTAAGGTGTCGCAGACCTGAGCTATAAAAGCAGCTCAAGATAAGCGGGATTTATAGCCTCGCAAATGTCCGTCTGCATACAGTTTTCAGTCAGAGAGGGGAGACGGGTTTTCACCCACGCGAGAAACACTGCTGTGCAGTCCTCCAAGATCCTGACTGCGTCTCGCTGGAATCGCATGACGTATGCGACTGCCAAACGTTGACTGGTTGATAAGTGGGCCAGAAAAAGAGAAGGGAGCAGTAGCAGAGTTCAACGGGAATAGGAGATCCCCGTTAAAAAACTTCAAAGATCAAAAAATAATGTATGAAAAGCACAGACAGTGACTGCAGTGACAGTTTTCATTGTTTTTAATACTCGGTTTCACTTCAGCTTTTGTGTTTTATAACTTCGTTCTTCTTCGTGTTTGGCTCATAGACCAAAAACAACATGAGCCACAGTTGTCCACAGACTGTTTGTAGCACAGACAGTCAGGCCCTGGAGCGGAGTGGACAGCTAACACGCTCACTCTGCTCCACCATAAATCCCACTGTTCTTTCTGCACCATGTTTTTATGGATGGTGTTTTGTGTCGGCTTGCCAGTGCTCTTTTGTTTCCCTCTAAACATAGCACTCCACATTTTGGCAGGTTTGTTTTCTTTTCTGTTTGTCCACATTTGTCCACATTTGTCTTATTGTCATATTTGCCCACAGAATAGTTTGAGAATCTTTACAGTGAAGCATTCACATAGGTTTAGTTTTTCCAGCCTGAGTGTGATTAATCAGTGTCCATCATAGAAATTCAAAACTTTTCCTTGTTGTAGGTTTAGTAACCCTGGATTGACAAAACAGATTCAGTAAAACTTCATCACTAGTTCAAAGTTCATCACTTTGGTAGTGAACTATCTGTTAACAGATAAGATAACACAAATGATCAGTTTTTACCTTTGTCTCAGTGCAGATCCACTATACTTCAAACAAAGATTTAAAAAGTTAACTGATAAGTGTTTAGTTTCTGATTCACACATGCTCTTCTCAGTTCCCAGTAATAGTAATATTTGCTTTAATGTGTGTAGTATGGTAAGTCTACGTGTGATATTAATATTTAAGTAAAGATTTTTGCTACTTTTCAGAAACGGCGGCGAAGGATCGATCGCTCCATGATTGGGGAGCCGACAAACTTTGTTCATACCACACATGTAGGCTCAGGGGACATGGGCCTGGGTTTGGCATCAGTAAGTTTTTTTTTTTGTTGTTTTTTTTGTTTTTTTTTTGTTTTCACTGAATTTTCAAACATGTGTTTTCAGCCAGCTAACATTTATATATTTCTATAGGTCGACCTAGTTCAGGCCCAGATGAAATCTAAAGGAGGATACGCACACACAAGTTCTGAAGGTTCGCAGTTGTAACGAGGTGAGAGATGTCCTGATATCCCTTAGTGAAACTGACATTAACCACAGATTTTTCACTACCCCAAAGCTACACAAGCACAGCTTCATCTTGTTTTCATGCAGCCAGAGCCGACTTATAAAAGGTCAAGTTTGTTTTTGAGTGAATTTTCGTTTTTTGTTGGGTTTTTTTCCCTAGCAAAAGCAGTATTTGTCTTGTTCCTCTGTCTTCCACACCATGTTTAGCTCTTCCAGTTCTTTAAAATAATAGATTAGAAATATCAATATCATATACGATGTGTGAAATTCTTGACTTGGGGCTCTAGCCATAAGTCAGTGATGGAAACAGTCACGAGAACTTTGACACTATCTTGTAAACCTCAAAAGTTTGCTCCACCCATGCACTGTCAAAAACAAATGATGGCAAATCAAGCCTGCACACAACTGCAGGCTTGCCTTATGTGGCTTAGAGAGGAAATGGGAGAAATGCAATGAATGCACATATTTACACTGTAATGTGCATGGTATTGTTTTGCTGATTACCTCTCAAACTGTCTTTGTGAGCGTGACTCAGCTGTCAGAGTAATGACAGTGTAATCGTGCCAAGGTCAATTTAAAAAGGAGAAAAAAAATTATTATATAAAAATGACAATTCTTTTTTCTCTTGACTCTACTGAATTATACTTTTTTCTTTTCTTTTTTTTTTAAATTAGCGTTACTTTAGCAAAATTATAGCTCTCTACTGTCCTAAGATATCAAGAAACTGTTACATCTGCAGGGTTGCTTTTTTGTTTTTTTTTTATTAGGGGGGCGGGGGGGGG